AAAGAGGACCGTTTGTTGTGATAATGCCCCTTATTCTTATTTCTTTTATCATGATCACGATTCTTGCTTCCAGAGTCAGACCCTTTATTCTTATCTTCATTGCGTTTGGCATTCTGACTTGAGCCTCCCTTATACTTGTTTCGGCCTCTATCAGCATACAATGCTTCTTCTGTGGTCTTCTCAACACCTCCCCCTAATTGCTTGGCTAGGGTTTCTTGAGCAGTCAACAGATTTTCAAACTCCACTAAGGACGGTTGAGTCGGCCACCCTTGGATCGCTGCTACAAAACTCTTGAATTCAGGTTTTAAGCCATGAATGATGATTCTTTTCATCCGAGATTCACCAATCGGAGCTTCAGGATCTAATTCTCCAATTTCCCTGCACGTAGCTTTCACCTTATGAAAATATTGAGAAATTGATAAATCCTTTTGTGACACAGACAAAAGATCATTCTCAAGCATTTGGAGTTTTGTGTCGTTCTTCTTAGAAAACAAACTGAGCAAAGTTTCCCAGGCTTCATTCGGTGTTGCAGCGTCCTTTATGTGCTCTAGAACTTCTTCTTCCACTGTTGTCTTCAACACAAATAGAGCTTTGCCTGCCTTGAGCTTCCACTTACGTAGAACACCATTGTTGTCTTCAGCCTCAGGTTGCTTTGTCTCTGATCCCTTCACAACTTCCCACAGATCTTGACCTTGCATGTAGGACATTATGCAAGTAGACCATGTGTTATAATTGTGATGATTAAGTTTCTTCACACCACCGGCCACCTGTAATTCCGTCATGAACCTGGATGCTCTGATACCAGATTGTTAACCTCGAGCCTAATAGACACACTCACACACTTGCACACAACAGATTAGGCAAAGCAAAAATACAGAGGAAGTTTTGGTTACACACAACTGATGTGTATTATTCTCTGAAGACTTGAATACAAAAGGAAATTATCACACGCCTTATAGACACTACAAGGAACGTGGATTAACAAGCTAGGAAACTGAAAGTAACTTCTAAACAGTTTTGACTAAGGAAATAACTAGACAGAGAATAAAGATAAACATAAAATAATAAAAGTTGATCAGGTCTTCTAATGCTTTGAGGTGTTGTACGTTCAATAATATATAGAGTACCTTTGGTAATATATTTGGGTTTTTAAAAACATTTTGTTGAAAAATCTCAAACTATAAACCAACCAAAGATCGCAGCAGGCCCTATTCAAAACTTTGAGTTTATCATAAGCCTATAATTTTGTTTCAAAATAACCATTAAAACCAATATCTAATATCAATTATTCACCCAAGGATTAATAATTGCTTTTATATAGTAAAAACTAGGTAATGAAAACACAAAGAGGATGTTTTAAAATGAGAAATTCTTGAGTTAGAGTGACTACCAACGTTTTTGCAAAAAAAAACAATTTCATCTCCAAAAATTAAAGAATATAAGGGAGATGATAGACGCGAACAAAAACCCCAATCACAAAAATGATGAAGGTATAGATTTAGCTACCGAGTCAGAAATCGACTCATAAACACTTTGGAGACCGATGAATGAGAAATTTGAAAGCTGAATATCAGATTTAGAGAGAAATTGCTTCTTACTTCTTATATTAGAGATGCAATCGACGATTAAGAAAAGTAGTATCGACATTCGAAATCAATGGGTGTGCTTCGAGGCATTGAGTTCTCCGATCGAACACCAAATGGGCGTGGTTCTAGGTGTCAAATATTGATTGACGTTTCGTTTTTCTATGCAACGTTGATGATCACTGGTCTCTTCAGTTGCTGCACACACGCTGCCCTTCTCACCACACCACAGAAATTGGACTCAAAGGTTACTAGGCTAATTTTTCTGGACCGATATTATATATACTGTAGATGAATAAACTAAATTTATGCTCCTAAAATTTTGCTGCCCTGGGCTTCAGCCTAACTCGCCCATGTATTGGGCCGGCCCTGAATGACACAAAGATCGTACTCATTTCATGTTTTAAGGAATTGTGAAGCTTATTAGCTCCATACGGTAACTCTTTTATTTTTGGATTTGTCAATTTTTTGTTATCATAGCCAAATCTTCCTGTTTATAGTAATTTATCTTATAGTTTCGAGTCATCTTTATATATGTTAAAGATGTGTTTAGGGCTCCCTTTTGTAAGGTTTGGGGTGTGATAATGGCTTCTTTTAGCATGATATTAACTTACGTATCATAATTGCAACAAAAAATCCAGAAAGATATGCTAGATGACACAATGATCTTCGTTTCAACACCATTTCCACATGTGAGTATCATTCATCATTAATATTTATTCTTTTGTTTCAAGTGTCATCTAGTTCATTTCGTCGTTAGTTTAACCAACCACCCATAATTTATTTCTACAAAAAATAATAATAATAATAATAATAATAATAAATCTATATTATCTATTTATCTTTATCTTGATATTGATTAATCAAATTCAGATAACGGTTGTAAGTTGTTTGAGTATTTTATAGATTCCCATTATTTAATGAATTAATGGATAAATGACCAAAGAAAACATTATTTTTGAATTGTCTAAAGTTAAAATAACACGATTTACTTTTTCATCAACTATAATAATATTTTTTTTTCTAGACATGTTATTAATAAAATCATTTAGAATAATAATATATAATCCAACAATTATCTTTTTTTTTAATTATTAATAATGAAAAAATGACAAAAGAGTGTAATTTCTGCAAATAACCCAAAATTGATTACCAATCTCCTAAATTATCTCTATCCAAACAGTGGAACTATTATTGCGATTTCACATAATCATCAGTTCCATAAGGACCATAACGCACACCCAAACGCCTCTTAAATAGGGAACTAAAATATCACTTAAAACATGTTTTAGACCAAAATCTGTTTAATAAAAATATTTTGTAATTTCAGCAATTCAAATTAAAATCTTACTGGTAAAATAATTGCTAACATTTTTATTGTAAGTTTAATTTTAGTGACGGATTTTTATGAATATGAGAACTCTTGAGGGGGGTATTTGTAAATTGTAAGATGCAGAAATGAGAAAACCATTACAACCCAATGAAAAGATGGGAGAATGATTCAGACTTCAGAGGTTTAAGAAAACAAGTGACAGTCTATTTTAGTCTCTCTCTCTCTCTCTCTCTCTCTCTCTCTCTCTCTCTCTCCTACGCGGTTTCAACTCTCTCCCAAATCCCAATTGTTAAGCGTTCGCAATCGCTGCTTTCAATTGTCATGTATCGGAGCTTCTTCATCCATTTTAATCGATCAAAATTCTCCAAGAATTAATCGGTACGTGTTTATCATCAGTGTCTGTAATCTGTATGCATTCTATTAATTTTTTTTATCATTCAGATTTCATTTCCTGGATCAATTTATAATTATCGATCGTAACTTCGGGAGCTAAAACGATCGTTTCAACATCAATTTTATTGAATTTAGCGAATATAGTAACGATCAGCTGTATCAACTAGAAAATTTTACTATAGACGCTATATTCGCTCTCATAGCATATCATAGTTTCATCTCGAACAATTTTAGTTTGTTAACAACAGAACGATTAATTGATTATGGTGATTTTAGATTTTCCCTCCGAATTTTTTGCACCAACGCTTAGTCAACAACGCTTTTAAATCTTCGATGATGGAAATGATATTATGGTATTAGATTCATTATCGATTACTTTCAGCACTATTCATTAATCTTTTCTGCAGTTTTGAGGTTTGAAACTAGAGATCGTGTTTCTTTGTATGGGTTCAAGCAGTTTCAGAAAGGCAATTGGTGTGGTTAAAGACCAAACAAGCATAAGCATAGCCAAGGTTTCTGGCAATATCGCAAGGGATGTTGAGGTGCTTATAGTAAAGGCAACAGGCCATGACAATGAACCACCTGAAGAGAAATACACAAGGGAGATCCTTAACCTTACATTTTACTCTTCAAGTTATGTAAATGCCTGCATTTGCACTCTTTCCAAACGATTGAGTAAAACACATGATTGGATTGTGGCATTGAAGGTCTTGATGCTTATACACAGGTTGTTAGATGATGGGGAGCCTGGATTTGGTGAGGAAATGATTCATATGAACCGAAACAGGACAAGGGTTTTGAACATGTCTGATTTTCATGATGAGGTTCATTCAAATTCATGGGAGCATTCAGGTTTTGTTAAAACTTATGCTTTGTATCTCACTCGGAAGCTTGAATTCATGTCATTTGACCAAAATATTGCAAACAATAGTTCAAATTTTGAAAAGGTTTTGGAGAGATTGCATCATTTGCTTCGTGTTCTTGATCGGGTTTTATCATGTAGGCCAACTGGGGATGCGAAAAGTACTAGGATTGTACTTATTGCACTACACCTTGTTTTGAAGGAAAGTTTTAGGGTTTATGATGATGCATATGAAATGATTGAAGTTTTGCTTCAAGGATTTTCAGAAATGGAGTATGATATTGGTGTGAAGGCTTTTGATCAATTTGTTTATGCAGCTAAAATGAGCGATGAACTTGTGGTGTTTTATAACTGGTGTGAGGACATAGGTGTTGCTAGATCATCTGAGTTCCCAAATGTGCAAAAGATTACAGATGAAATTTTGGGTTCACTAGAGACATTTTTAAGTGAAAGAAAGATTGTGTATGATAATGGAAAAATAGATGAAATAAAGGCAGTTCCTCTTCCTCCACCGGAAAGTCACAACCCACCACCACCTGCCGCCATGTCAACTGAAGACCTTCTGAATCTAAAGGATGATGCTAATGGAAGATTACAAGTAGTTAGCCGAGAAGACCCTTTTGAAGCATCACTCAGAGTTTTACCTCCTTTATACATGTGGGAGCAATATGGATGAATTACAAAAATTATGTTGTATAAATTAAACTGAAATTACAAAGTTAACAGGAGAAGGACATACATATGAACAAAAAACCAACTTAGCATCTCAAAAAATGGTAAAATAAATCATCATCACTACAAAAAAAAAAAAAAAAAAAAAGGAATTTTTCTTACACAAAATTGTTGTTGTTGATGACTTTATGTTTAGTTTAGTTTTGATGAGTTAAATACCGAAGATGCAATGTTCTTCAATGCTTCACATGCTTTCTTCAGATCAGATTCTGTATGAGCAGCTGAGACATACATTCTGATTCCCACAGGCAACTTGCATTTATCCACCATCGATCGTTTACAAGTTGTTACAAACACCGAGTGTTCCTTTAATACCTGTAGTTATTTATTTCATTCGTTATTCAACAACCAAAAGGGTAAAATGGTCATTTACAAGAGACTTACACAATCAGCAAGATCTTCGAGTAATTGAAGATCACTCTTCACAGACCCTGTAGATTTTTTTAGCTTGAGGAAAACAAGAGGCGACATTACATCACTTGCAAGTTCCAACCCTTGTATATCTGACAACCCTGCAATATTCATAAGACATCTAAATAATATGAAATAGTGTAATTTTCATAAAATAAAATTGGGAGATAAACAAATTACAAACCTGTGGTTAATATTTTAGAATTATCTCTTAACTTTGTTATGAGTTGAGGGTTTTCCTCTATGACATCAATAGCAGAAATTGCAGCACTTGCCAAGTATGGGGGAAGAGATGCAGAAACACATAACCGGAGCTGCTCAGCCTCTACACAAACATGAGCAATCTACTTTACATTTATTAACCGATAACAGCAATCTACTTTTTTTTTAATCTATAATAGCAAAATACCTAATTTTGCACAAATACAATCATTGTATTTTATGAGTAAGAAATTACAATTACATTGATGTTATATATATATATAAAGAAAATGTAAGTATATTGCTATAATGATTTGTACATACTTGGTGATCAATAACTCGGTGACTTCCTGTGCAAAAACCACCTTCTGAGGCCAATGCATGTCCCATTGCAGCAGTTATTATATCTATCTTATCAATCTGAAAACATGTATAATCGTATGAGAGAGAGAGAGAGAGAGAGAGAGAGAGAGAGAGAGAATACCGGAACATTAAAGTGTTCAGATAAACCTCTACCAGATTTACCAAGAACACCAAAAGAGTTGCTTTCATCTAACAAAACACGAAATTTGTACTTCTCCTTAAGTTGAATAATCTCATCTAGAGGAGCGATTTGACCTGAATTCTGAACATTTTAACAACATAGATTAAACACCATAATAATAAGTTAATAATAACAACAAGATCCTCTTTTTTTTTTAAGTGTTAACTCTTATTCATATATGAAACCATAACTAATAAATAATTGAAAAAAAAATACCTGGTATAAAGCTTCTACAACAATGTAACGTCTAAGTTTCTTAGCTCGTTTGTTGTCTTGAGTAACTTTCTCTAATGTACTTTGTAAAGACTGCATATCATTGTGTTTAAAATACACAATTGTGCTTCTTGATAAGTATAATCCATTTTGTATCCCCCAATGAACACCTTCATCTCTACAACACACGACTTAATCTGTTAAGCTATATATTTGTTACTTCATACAGAAAGAACAACTTAATAGAGAAAAAGTTTTATACAAATACATAGAAGAAAAAATTTATATATATATATATATATATATATATATATATATATATATATATATATATATATATATATACTTACACAATAATGATATCTCCTTTCTTACAAAATGCTGGAATTGCACTGAACATAGTTGAGAGTCCATAAGAGTAGAGGATGGAATCAGGAGTTCCCAAAAACTCTGCTATTCTGGTTTCGCAGTCAAGATGAACATCTAGATAAGGTCAAAAAGTCAAAAGAGAGAGAGAGTCTGATGTGTATAAAATTTAGTTAAATAAAAAAAGATTTTTTTTTTTTGGGAATCAGGAGTGATGGGTTTTGTACCAATGGTTCCATAAAATTGACGAGGACCACAAGATCCAACACCATATTTCTCCAGTGAAGAAGTACATGATTCCTGCCATATTTAATTTATATATACAGGGTTAAATGCAAGAAATAGCAAATTACTTTTATTTATATGTTTATTATAACATCAGACTTTTCATTTCTTTTTAAAGTACAATATTCTAATATGCAAAAAATTGGTAGACTTTTCAAAGTGCAATGTGTTGATAAGAACTAAAACAAAATAGAAAATACAATGTTGTAATCAGAAAAAATGGAAGTAGGATGCTATAATAAATGAATAAATTGAAGTACAATACTATTTCTTACAAGTAACTTTTCATGTCCCATTAATCCAAGGTAATTTGCTGAAGCAAAATTAATCACTTTTCTGCCATCAATGATTGTATGTGGTCCTGCAGCACTGTAAATAGTTCAAATATTACAATCATTTATGCATAATGCATGTTTTGTATGTGTGTGTTTGTGTGTGCATAGTTAGCATATTAAATAGAAAGTAAATGGTGCAAACAAATTGCATAAAGTCAAGCTTATGATTTATCATATCTAAAATCAGGGTTAAGTGCAAGAAATAGAAATTTACTTTCATTGATTTGTTCTACAACATTTGTACTTCAAAAATCCATATACAAAAAATTGAATGTAGAATGCTATAATTGGGTAGATTTTTTAAAGTGAGATGCTTTACTAAGAAAAAAAAATTTGAAATTATAATGCTGTAATTGAAAGAAATAAAAGTAGGATGCTATAATGGGGTGAGAGAGACCTTGAGAGTATTGGAACTTCTCTTTTCATCTCATCTGTTACAGGTGGAATAAGAGACTCTGGTACCCATTCATCACATAACTCATCTATCTCCTACAAACATCACAGAGAGAAAAACCGATTAAAAAGTCAAAATTAGACTTCAAGTTACAGAAAAAGTCAAACCTTGGTTGTTAAAGGGCGTTTAGGTGGCTTGTAACTCTTCTGAGAGAGTAAAAATAATATAACTACTAAGAGTAGACCTTCCACAAACAGATGACCTATAAGTCAACATAAAAGAAAAAGTCAACCTCAGTATCAAAAGCTTATTGGTACCTTATTAAACAAAGACTTTATATATAGTTATGTTCATGAAAAACATACCTCCTATATGGACTCCAAAAACAACAGCTCGAGCAAAAGGTGCATCATATGCAAATGTGATCAAGTCAGATGCATTTTTCAAATGATCCATGAACCCAGTTGGAACATAACTTAATAAATCCATATGTACCTAAGGATAGTGTTTAAACAAGCCATGATAGTTAGTTAGTATACAGATCATAAGTGAAAGAATCATAGTTTTACCCGATTTTGTTTGAATTCAATATACTTATATGTTTGACATTCAAAGTGAAAGCATCAAACTAATAAAGAACACAGAGAGTATTAGCTCAATTCCTAAAAGAAAAAGGAATAGAAAGAATTGAAGTGGATTAAGCTGCGCGACTTCACACTTGTTTAGCAACCGTAATACTAATAGTCATGATTGATATTGAAAGTTCATAAGTATGCGAGTAACCTTACTAGGTGTCGAATCGATGGAAGGTTAATTTAGATCCGTTGGTGATTGTGTACTTCGATGGTGAACTATAAATTCATAAGGAGATTTAGAAATTCAGGAACCCTAATCTGAAGATGCTGAATGATTGAGTGGAGAAAGGAATGGCGTTTGATGGGTCAAATACGGCGACACCACAGAGTTTACAGATCTTCGATTCTTATTTGGTCTTTTGTGAGCTTTTCCGTTTTCAAAAGGGACTGCGAAAGTGGCAACGTAAAAAAATAATTTTTACTTTGTTGTGTTTGGAGGGGAGGGGCGTAGCCACTTGCCACGTGCCACCGGTTGTACAAAAATAGTGAGCGTTTTGTCACTGACCAAGTTTCTGGAAAATTCAACGATCGTCTAGAGAACTCTAGAACGATCCAGTATACTCGAGAAGTCTCCGGAAAGATCAAGAATGCTCTACGGGACCCTGGAAGATACTAGAATATTATAGATGTCCGTGGAACAAAGGAGAACGATCCGGAATAATCAAGAAGGCACTAGACGAAGCTAGAACGACCCGGAAGACTTTGGAACGATCTAGAACACGCTAGATCATACAAGAATGATTTGGATAATTTCGGGACGACCTAGAGATTTCTAGAGCATCGTAGACAAGTATATCATATTCCAGAGTCTTGTAAAATCCATGTATATAATAGGAAGAGTCTAGATTAGTCAAGAATAATCGGGACCTAGAAACTTCCATTTGAGGAGGTGTAAGGTACCTATAAATAGGAAGGATGTCTCATTTGAAGGATCCATCGAGAAGTTGCTTTGTAAAGAAGTTGAGTTATATAATAGAAGCTTTCTTGAAGTGTCATTTGTCGTAACTCTTGTTTCCTAAGTTCGTTAGTACATCTAGATCGTCGAAGTTAGCCTGACTTAGTCGGAGAAGCACTAAGTGGCACACGGTATTGACTAGTCTAAAAGAGTCATCCCGTGACAGTTTGGTGCAGTAGCATGGATATGGATACGAGTAACTACAAAAATACACTATACGAAACTAAATTGGGAAGAAACTGAAATTCGAATTCGTGTTCATGTCAAGTGTAAAAAACACGATATCTTATCGTGTCGTGTTCGTTTTCAAAATTCGACACAAAATTGACACGATTTAACATTTGTTTGTCGTGTTTTCGTGTTTGTCGTGTTATGTATTATTAATTATTGAATATTAATAAAATAAACTAATTGTTATATTTATATTATCTTTTTTTAATTATTCAAATCCGTGTCGTGTCATGTCTTTTCGTTTTTTAAATAATTCGTTTTCGTGTTAGTTAAAAAAACACGGCACCGTGTCGTGCCGTGTTTGTGTTATATAAAACATTGTTGTGTCGTTTCATGTCAGACAAAAATACGACACGATAACTCGATTTGTCACCCCTAGATATGGCCAATAGCGGTGAGCTTGATTTTTTTAAAAAAAAATTAACTAGCAGGTGGTGATTCGCGCTTCGCTTCGCGCCAGTTGAATTTTTTTTTTTTTATGTTTACTTATTTCAGTGTTTTTTTGGTTTTTTATTCTCTTTTGTTATTTTCTATTTTGTGTGTGTATAATGTTCTGAGGACAGTGGGACATTGTAGTACATCTAACATATGCATAATTCATTTAAATATATATATATATATATATATATATATATATATATATATATATATATATATATATATATATATAGACCTATTTCGTAAATTACAGAGACAGTTCTTGTATTTTATTTTCTATGTAGTGACCAAACATGTCAAACCTACAAACAAGCCAATATACGAAACGTAAATGGGTGGCACTTGTTGTTGTTCAAATTGAGGGGGTAAAACTAACATTTTATAAAGTGTGGGGGATGGAAAGTGGCATTCCACAACGTAATGGTGGTGGAAGTGTGAACATACAAAAATATAAGGACCAAATCAGCCAACAAATGAAAGTTTTATGGCCAAAGTCTAAAAGATAGTTTTATAGGAAAAGTCTATAAGAACAAATCAAATTGAGGGGGGTAGTACTAACATTTTATAAAGTACGAGGATGGAAAGTGGCATTCAACAAAATAAGATCATTGGAAGTGTGAACGTACAAAAATGTAGAGACCAAATCTACCAACATATGAAAGTTTTATAGCCAAAGTCTAAAATGACAAAATTTTATGACTAAAATGTAAAACCATAAAGTATACTTTGTAGCCGAAGTTTAATATAAAAAACTTTTACGATAAAACTATAAAAATATACTATTTCTATGTGGCACATGAATTAATATATACTAGAAAAAGATCTCAAGCTTCGCCCGAATTATATAAATTTTTTTTATCTTTTTTTGTTTTGTTTTGTTTCAAAAAAAAAAGAAATGGATTCTAAAAACGTTAAACATTGATATTTTTTAATTATGTGTATTTGTTTTCATTTGTTTTTTTTAAGTATTTGCATGTGATCATAAGTTCAAACGATAGAGTAGAAGTTTATGAACATCTTATTTTAGAACATGGAGTTCATACAAAGGATAAGAAAACTATTACATAGACGATAGCAAAAAAGGACATTAGTTGGACGTTAACTAATCAGACATAACAGACATAAGAGAGGGAATGGTCGGTAGCTAATCGTCAGGGAATTCTTTCATGGGTTTCCTTGGTCAGCAATTGCTTCTTTCTTTTTTCCTGGAGGGAGGCGATGATTATCCGCATCTTGTTGTGATGTGTCTTTCCTTTATCGAGAACGTTGTCGGATATTGTGAAGTTCAGGAAGCGTGGGCGAGTTTCTATGGTGTTGCAGTACTCCTGCTGCATGGCCAATCCTTCTAGTTTTGCTTGGACTTTTTCGAGGACGTTGTTGGTTTAATGCAGATGGCAAATCAATTCGTGAAGCATTGCGTAGATGTCGTCTGTCTTCATGTTTTTGAATTGTATGCCCTATGGTTCTAGAAATTCCATTACTTTAAGTGTTTAGTTATATATAATTATATGCACAAATATATGCACCTCATTTATACTAAAAATATCATTAACATATTAATTTTGTAAAATTGTACAAGAAAATTATATGCAATAACAAATGGATACAGTTTCTTCTTTGTCAATGCCAACATGACAGATGTTGAAATGGTTTACAAAGGAAAAGACTTTCATACCCTTGCTTAGTCCGTCATCCTACTTCGTAATTGTAATAAAGAAAGACAAAACTACAAGATTGATCCCTGTGGAATTCAAAAAACTTTGGATAGGGTCCAAGAAGTTTTCCACTTGCATAGAGGTTCAAAATCAATGTTTTTCTGTGTTTTTGGTCCAAAAAAACTTGAAAATACGATTATAACCATTTCATTTCTTTTTTCAATTTTCTTTATTTATTTTGGTATTTAAATCATTAAAAAAAATAAAAAAATAAAATCTCACCCAACCCTCTGTGTGTGTGTGTGTGTCTTTCTCTCTCTCTTAACTCCCCATCAATTCTTTCAAGATTGTATCTCCCTTTTGATTTCACAAGAGCACAATTCTTTTCCTAGAAGTCACATGTGAGTTTAACATATACACACAGTAGATTAAAATCAATCAATGGGCGTCTCACCCCCTTTCCGATGAACTTTTTCTTCTCTGGCAAACTGTATCCTTCAATACTCTCCACCTCTCGATGATTATGAACACTTAAAACCTAATTGGGTTTAGACCCAACTTCACCTTCTTCTTCTTTGGTATCGTTTCTTATCCCCATTCTCCATGTATTGTTAATTAATAAACACACAATTTTCACATCTTACCCCTCAATCGAGAAAAAAAACCCAAAATTCTCATCAAAATCAAGTTTAAATAAAAAAACATGCAGAAATCCCGGATCGTTGTCGATTTATAGCCAACCCCCTACACAAGATTCTATATTTCAAATCGTTGTCGATTCACACCCAAATGCAGGTTTCCAGGGATGGGCAGTTGTGTAATCCTGTAGGCATTTATAATTTCGAGATTCAAATCCTTGCAGTCAAGCATAAAGTTAGAATGGAATACTGATATGCCCAAAAATCCATATATAATTCTTTTACAAATGTTCTGAATGGATTGAAATTACTCAAATGTGAAATCAACTTCAAACCAAAAGCATAAGTAACCAAAGTGAAATCTAATATCCCAGAAACCAAAGCCAACTTTAATGAAATCAAAACCTAGAACCACTGCAAAATCAAACAATCCTTTCTCTCATTCATGGTGATTTATGTATCTGTTTCTAATGAAATTATACCTCCATGGATATACGGGATGAGAGGGGGAGAGGGAGACGAGGATGTTGGTGGGTATCTAGGTTTTTAAGACCGACGATAAATGCATCTTTCAACCTTACCCGTTGCTCCATAAATTTGGATAGCTTCTTGATTATAACTTGTGGTGGATTAGGTGGTAAAATCAAGCCAACTTTAAGTTGTTGAATCTACAAATGAGATTAAGGTGAAGAGCACTGGGATGGCTTCTAGAGAGAAATAAAGGGTTATCATGGTGGTGATGTTTCTCTAAGTAATCCTTCTAGTGGGTGGTTCTCCAATTAAGAGAGAGAGAGAGAGAGAGAGAGAGAGAGAGAGAAAAGAACGACCAGGTGGCTCCAATTATTTTATTTGTTTAATTTTAATTAATAAATTCTTAAAGGGATATAAAAAATGTAAAAGGAAATTAAAAGGGCAAAATCGTCCTTTCAGGTTTGCTAAGGACCAAAACCACCAGAATTTCTTAATTTTAGGACTAAAATCCCAGAGAATTCTTGATTTTGGACCTTCCATGCAAGTCAGAAACTTTTTGGACCTTATCCACAGTTTTTTGCAAACCACAAGGACCAAATTTACAATTTTTTCATAAAGAAATTATAACACTGCTAATCATCTATGGATTTTAATTTTCTTTAACTTTTATCTGGATCTAAAATAAATGCACCATCACCACAATTTTAATTTTTATTTCTAATAAATTTAATATGACATAAGAACCAATCCAAAACAATCTAAAAATATATATGGCTGGTGGAAAATTTGGTTGAAGCTCAAATTATATGTATATAGGTTTCAAACGATGTGATCTTGTAGCTTTCTTAAAACATGAAAACATAATAGGAAATCTGATAAAAGAAAATCATATAGATAATATGCAATTTCAGTTTTCCATTCGGGGTTGACAACTTACCTTGTTCAAATACAATATTGTATAGAAGAATAAGAGCTCGGAGCTTTGTATACAAATAGTTCTGATGGGTT